TATTTGTGAGAACCAGAATTGCTTTATGAACCACAAGGAAATTATACTTATACAATAAACTATCAAAATAAAAGCTGTGACACCGAGAACTTATTTTTTCCTTTTTCAATCCTGTGTTTTTCTTCTAATAAGAAACTGACTTTTCTTATTATGCCTCCCCTAAAACAACTATCCTTTAGAATATATATCCAAATGTATTATATAACAATTATTTATGCTAGAAATATATCAAGAAACTGTGTTGATTATTGATGACAGTCTTCTGGAGGGAGCGCCAGGCTTGTTTGGCACCTGTTGTCCTAAATATATTTGGAGGCCTGTTGTTTTAAAAAAGCGTCTATTTCTACATAAGTTTACTTTTTTTTTTTAGTGAAACCAAGAGCAGAGAAGAGATGTGCGCCCAATTCTTTCTGCCAATCGATCAGACTGCGGATAGATCGATATGGCACCAGGGCTATTGATCACTACAGTCCTCTATTGCTAGGCGCTTTCAAATGCAAATGTACCTAAATAATAATCTGTGGCAACACACTAATTCCTTAATAAACTGCAGGAAAACGCTTTACAAACACAGCGATTCAATGGGCAAGTACTTCAACATTTAAGGCCTTTAAAATGTGGCCGCAGAGCTCTGACTGTGAAACAGGCAGCTTTAACAGTAGGCTGCCGTTTAAAGATTTAACAGGACAAACAGGTAACACTCAAAATGCACAGTGACATTGATTTGGCCTGTAGCCTACAGGAAGTTTGTAAAATAAAAATATATAATCTGCAGCCAAGGCGATAAGGTAAAGGTGAAGTGACATTAAAATAAAAAAATTACCTCCCCAAATACAGCACACACACTCCCTGCTTACAGAAATAATTTAAGTTTTAGTTTAGACAGATAGTTGCAATTTATATGATAATTATGAACATATTTTCACACTTTATTGGGAATCTAAGATGTTAAGAATAGTCATTAAAATCACACAAACACACACACACACACACACACACACACACACACACACACAGACAGACAGACATAGTTAGGCACACACACACACACACACACACACACACACACACACACACACACACACACACACACACACACACGAGTTACTTAAAAGTAGAGCCATAGGCAAACAGGGCAGATGTTGTGAGTTATTCCCCCAACAAGGCCATATCAGAGTGTGTGTGTGTGTGTGTGTGTGTGTGTGTGTGTGTGTGTGTGTGTATTGGGATGAGAGCAGCAGAGCCCCGTCCCGCTGACTTGCTCAGAGGCCTGATCAATGCGACATTACTAAACACTGCTACTTAACTTTTGCCAATAGCCAGATTCAAGTAAATATACTTTAGAATACATTAAGCGTGATGCATCAGCCACGGAGTCATTCAAGAAGTCATGAAAAGATTAGTCTGTCTCTATCGAGTGATTCCTGGGAAAATAGACAAGCTTATACGGGAGACTTGGCCCAATAGAAATACCTCTCATTAACACACTGTGTTTTATATAAATACAGGGAAATAAAAAGGAAGTTTTGAGGGAAGTTTAAATTTAATTGTGGGCGCCTACTGCGTGGAAAAAAAACACTCAGGTGTAAAATAAAATAAAAAATACATTAATACTAAAAAAAATACTTAAAAAATCTAGGCATTAATTCTTATAATATAATAATAATAATTGACAGTACAGTTAGAATTTGCAATAGGGAAATATAAATTGAATGTAATGTGTTTTTTACGCTGAGAGTCTGCAGCACTCAGCCAAATGAAAAGCACAGCTTAAACTTCCCAGCTGAGTGCTATGTGGTCATTTCCTGTAATGAAACTGCCTGTTGAGACAGGTCAAACACATAACAGGACTTAAACCATTTTAGCAGAATGCATTTTTGGCCCTATCGATCCTTCAGAAATGCATTGAGCGAAGCTCCGGGTTCAGCATTGATTAGTTGATCAGCAAACGACAGCAGTGCTTAAAGATAAAAACAAAATGCTTTGGGCCTCATAAAAGACTTTAATGTAGAGCCACAGTGACTTTAAAACTAATTGAACTGAATTACCAAAGTCCTGTGTGAAATAAAATAGTACAACTTTTTTGGAATAAATTAACAAATTATTAAAAACACACACAAAAGAAGGCTGCACAATCCCTGAAGTCTCTCTCTCTCTCTCTCTCTCTCTCTCTCTCTCTCTCTCTCTCTCTCTCTCTCTCTCTCTCTTTCTGTGTGTGTGTGTTATTAAAGTCGATGCCAACGTGGTGCTGAGGCCACACCGCCTCGCCCGCTGTTATTAATATGAAATAAATCACCGGGTCTCTGCGGCATCGCCCCAGTCACACCGCAGTTATCGACACAGTTAATATTTCATATTGTATTTGCCATAGGATATGCTTATTTAAGTATTCGAAAACAGTACATTAAAATACAAATTAAAACTGAGCTCTAGGCTGATACATAGATTTTTTTTGTGTGTGTGGAGGGGAAAATAGCTGTGTTTACTTTGCATTCAAATTTTATTTTGGCTCGCTGAATGAACGATTTGAGCAAGCTGCATAAAATAGAAGAAATCAACACTGATTGGAAATAGGAAAGGTGCACTGATCAGTTCCCCACGCCCTGTTGACCTTGCTCTTTTATCTGTGTGGAGTCATCCTGGTGCAGAGGAGCCCATAGAAAATATAGAAAGAAATCACAGAGAGAGAGAGAGAGAGAGAGAGAGAGAGAGAGATGGGACTGATATGAAGTTTACAGGTTCTTGGTGAAAGTATAAAACTTTTCAGCGCGTTGTTTTGGGTTGTAAACCCTGGTGAATTAGGAGCAAGGAGCCAGCAATGAAAGTTAACATCCATCACCACCGCGACCAATAAGCTGCTCTGGCCGGCTGGCTGAGCACAGATGACGGATTCGCTGCTGTGCGGGCTTCGGTAATTCATTTTCGATAGCAGTGGTTGCTGGGATCAATACAGGGACATTAACCCAAGCGGACACTGCTGTTCTCCTGATGGCACAAGCCAAAAGCCACCATCCCCCGTTGGCAATCAGCAAAGACACAGTTTTTAGGGTCATTATTTTGGGTGGAAGAGGAGCAGTGTGCCAAGGCCACTGATCTCACAATTCATCAGTGGAGTTATGGATGGCCTTGACCTAACTGTTGGTAAACACTGGTCAGAGAAATTATTTTATGCAATTTGCAAATGATAAGTGATGCCACTTCCTGGATTGTTAGACTATTTTTTTCCAGCTCCGGGTCGAAAATCCTAATGGCCTCATTTTACATAACATCGGTGTAAATGCCAAGGCTTCTCACTTGGTAACAATGTTCACACAGTTTTCAGAGCAGCTGAAGGCCTACTGAGGGAGGGCTGATGTGGTTATCGGTGGCAACACACACACACACACACACACACACACACACACACACACACACGAAACACTCAAACATGTGTAAACATTTAGAGGTGATGATTTTGCAGATTTTTACAGTTTTCTAGCATTTGCATGTGTCTGTATAGTCTCACATCTTACCCATACAGCTGGACACCAATATATTACATAATAACACAATATAATAACCCTGCAATAAATAATACCTATATATGTTTATGGAACGTATAGTGATCAGATATGTGTCAGAATGGCGTTGATTCAAATCTCAAATCAAAGTCATTTTTGAGGCTATATAGGGAACAAAACGACATGATGCACCTCACATTATACATATTAAATACAAGGTCACCACAAACTATAGTCCACTAAAATACAGGTTGTATATTGCAGCTTAAACAACTAAATATTGGAATATTGGCTATATTGGGCTAAACTCTGCAGGTGCTACTGACAACAGGAAGCAATACGATAAATAAAGCCATATTTACTCGGTGTTTATAGCAGATGGAAAACTCATTTTGACAACTTCATACACTCAGTTTGCACCCAAAACGCGTGACTTATCCGTTAGCCCTTTACAGAATCCAATGCCTGGATCTCAACGTGCCGCTATATCGCATCCATATTGCGGGCTCCTGCAATAGGCACCAACCTATCGATGCTTCTCCTGATCCATACATACTTTGACATTGATGGATTGCTGACCTGGATTGACGTCAGTGAGCAGCAAGTTTCATACAGAAGTTTATAAAAAGGCACCAAACGCTGTGTGTGAGTTTGTGTGAGGGAGTTTGATTTTCATGGTCTGAATCCGAGTAGGAAAGATGCTAAAGGGGTCAAAGCCTAGAGGCTATGATGAAATGAAACTCGACAAATTTATTCAGTAACACTTGCTGAAGGAAAAGAGAAAAAAACACTTCTAAGAAAAAGTTATGAGTGAAGGCTTAACGGCCAGACACTGGACAGCAAGATTGGACTGTTTGCTTTTCAGATTGTAAAGAGAGAGACGTAAATGTAATTTCATTGGGAGGCTGGTTATCATATAAACGTGTCAAAGGTCAAACCACGCAGTCTGAAGACTGTGAATCTCATGTTTTAAACTCTTAAAAATGATTCATTTACATCTACAAATAATTCTTTCAGTGCGCATCTTAAATTTATGGATATAAAGAATAGAAATGAGGCTGTAGGCTGTGACCTCTCCGAGAGAAGCTGTGGTTTTCTCATTACACCCGTGGCCTGAAGTGACACATGTCAATTAATATTTAACCTTCAGGAGAGGCATCACATGGGCTGCTGGCGCCATGTCAAACAGTTTTTATCAGAGAAAACAAGGAGCGAGTCGTCCTTATCCATCGGAGTGCAAATGTTGCACACACTGCAGAGGGGCTGCGCTCCTGTTTTATCTTCACAAGTGCTCTAATGCAATCTGTTTCAGGAATTTGAGGCTCAGTGTGCAACCGCGAACAACCCATGACATAGGGGCCAGTGACGTCAGATTGGCCCCCAGACAAGAGTGCGCGAGTGCGAGAATACGCTACGGGAGCGCGCACATGCGCACAGGCTCGGTCTCATCTTGACATGAGCGCGGGTGCGTCAATATACACACAGAGAGCAGAGCGGCGCTTTGGGTATAGTAGAAGGTGCTCTACAGCGAGAGAAATCCAGGCAGGCGCACCTTCACACACCGAGCAGAGGTTTGCGGCGCAGTTTGTGTGGCGGCCGGGACCCGATCTTTTAAAACCATGCTGGATTGACTGCAGAGAGGCAACTACAATCAATGGCTTGGCTTTGAAATCGTTCAAAATTTATTGGAAAGGAGTGTGAGATAGAGCGACAGTGAGAGAGGAGGGAGAGCAGCGAGGGAGAGAGCGAGAGAGTGGCGAGAGGGGTGGAAATAAAGATCCTTTCAACGATGGAGCTTACAATGGAAAACATTGGAAATCTGCACGGTGTATCTCACTCCCATCAAACGAGCGACTTAATGAACTCCCAACACGCGCGCCAGTCCTCGGCGTCGCATCGGAACTTGGTGTCGCACGGACGGTCAGCCATGGTGTCCAGCATGGCCTCGATACTGGAGGGAGCAGGGGACTACCGCACAGACCACGCTTTGTCTGGCCCCCTGCATCCGGCCATGACCATGTCGTGCGACTCCGGGATGAGCCTGAGCAGCACCTACACCACACTGACGCCGCTGCAGCACCTGCCCCCCATATCCACCGTCTCGGAGAAATTTCACCATCCACACCCACATGCTCACCATCATCCGGCGCACCAGCGACTCGCAGCCGGGAACGTCAGTGGCAGCTTCACCCTGATGAGGGACGACAGAAGCCTCGCCTCCATGGGTAACCTCTACGGCCACTACCCCAAAGACATGTCCGGCATGGGACAGCCTCTATCCCCTCTGTCCAACGGTCTGGGGTCTTTGCACAGCTCCCAGCAGACTCTCAGCGCCTACGGTCCCGGAGCTCACCTCTCCAACGACAAGATGATCTCCTCGGGGGGCTTCGATACCCACGCAGCCATGCTGTCCCGGGGCGAGGAGCACCTGGCCCGGGGTCTCGGGGGCCACGGGGCCGGGCTCATGACATCCTTGAACGGCATACACCATCACAGCCATCCGCACTCTCAGGCAAACGGGTCCATGCTGTCAGACCGGGACAGGCAGACGGTGGTGGGAGGCGGGCAGGGAGCTGGGTCAGGGCAGGTGGAGGAGATAAACACCAAGGAGGTGGCACAGCGAATAACGGCAGAGCTCAAGCGCTACAGCATCCCCCAGGCCATCTTTGCTCAGAGGATCTTGTGCCGGTCCCAGGGAACTCTGTCTGACCTGCTGCGGAATCCTAAACCGTGGAGTAAACTCAAGTCTGGCCGGGAGACGTTCAGGAGGATGTGGAAGTGGCTCCAGGAGCCCGAGTTCCAGCGGATGTCGGCGCTGAGGCTTGCAGGTGAGTGAGGAGACAGCTCCCAACCTGAGTGATGTGGAGGGATCAATTAGAAGTCAATGTGGCGAGACTGTCAATAGCTGCTCAAACAGACATTACTAGAAGTTATTAGTCGATTGTATCGAGTAAAACTTCATCATGACAGTTGGGGTGTTAAATGTTGGGGGAAATCTATATTTTGATTGATGCTACAATCCATGATAGTATAAACAGACGCTGTGCAACACTGGAGGTGTTATAAACAAAACGGGGGGAAGCTTCCCTCAAAAGCAGACGAGGTGCAAACGCAGTCTGCACGGATGTGTTGCTTCTTACGCACATATAGTGGTTTTACGCACGTAGAGAGCATGGATAGCACACCTCACTCCTCTCCCTGTCTCCCTGTCTCTCTCTATCTCTCTCTCTCTCTCTCTCTCTCTCTCTCCCTCTCTCTCTCTCTCTCTCTCTCTCTCTCTCTCTCTCACACACACACACACACACACACAAACAAACACACACACACACAGAAAGAGACCAAACAAAGGAAATCAAAGCAGGATGTGACCGAAATTGATTACATCTCGCAGCTCCTACTTTAAACAAACTTTTCAGATCACTGCAGCACAGTTTTACTTTGGACTCATTTGTATCAAACAAACTTGATGTAATACTCTGGTACTCCCCCCCTGTCAAATAGGCGCGTCGTTGCAAACAAGAATCGTCTGAGGCCTGGCCAAAGAGTCGGGGGAGCATGACCTCCTATGGATCAATATTTCAGGTCCAGGCGTCCCCTTTCAGAGTAGCACACTGATAAATGATCGATTTGGATCTGAAAGACAGAGACACAAACAGATGCGTCTTTCTCTGGCCTGTGTTGTCTCCTCTGCACTCTGGGATATCTTGTCTCCAAAGTTGGTTTAGGGCCTGTTTTCTGAGCCTGAGATATTGTGTTTATTGTGGCTTGTGAGGTTATTCGTGTGGCCGTGATAACAGAAAGGACGAACTCTTACTGTCTCTCTCCATTTTGTCTTTGTGAGTGCTTCATCTCTTTCATCCATCGTTTGGGGGTTTTACTGGAAATTATCACACTAAACGCAGTGATCTGGACCCCGCCTCCCCCCCTTTAAACCCCTTTAACACTCCTCACCTGATTAACAGGCCGCAAATGAAAACGAGGGACGTGCAGTGGGGTTAAAACAGAGATGTGAGTGAGAGGTCCCCTCTCATTGATGTTTGTGTAAAGGCCCTGTTTAGACGTGCTGCGCTCCCAAACGTCAATCAGCTCTTCTGTGTCGTATTTCAGCGAACAGTTCAATTAAGCAGATATAGTGGCATATTTTAGTTCCAGTCAATGCCCTATTGAAAAGCACTTAATGGCATGTAAATTGTTCCTTTGCGCATTTAGTGGGGTTCTGGTAAATAAAGATTTAAACACTCCACAATTGTCTCTTTAAGTGCCACTGCTGTTAAAGCTAATTGGGCTGTGGGGTTTTATATCTTCCACACCCGGCATCAGGATAAAACCCCCCCAATCCAATTGACATGTTGGAGTGGCACAGTCCTGTGGAGTGCACACCTAGTGCATATTTTAATGTGGTCAGGCCCAGGGCAGCCTATAGGTGTAAGGCGTGTGTGTGTGTACGCGCCTATTTGTAAAATGGAAATTAGGGCTGCACTCTCATCTTAATTTGATCCGGTGGAGATGGATTTTTTATTAATTATTCTATTTTAAAATACATTTTATTATAAATTTACATTAAATATGTTTATTTTTCTTTCTTGAATCAGCAGATTTTCCAGCGCTCATTGTGTGTTATGCATTAACCTGCTGCCACAATAGGTCTGAGAGAAACATCCAGTTGGGCAAAATGACAAATGACTTGTATGTAAATGCACGGAGCAACATTTTACTTATTGCATTTAAAATCACCATTATCCTCGGTGCGCATGTGGGCTGGGAGTGGGAGTTAGGGGGGGTTGTGATGCTGAAAGTGAGGCTGGGCCATACTCGCTCGGCCACATCAATCAATAAATTCAAATTACTATTCCAAATTCATCACAGTCACACAAATCAATGCAGCTGCCCTGCTTAGCTAATGTGAAAATGTCAGTGTCTGCACACACACACACACACACACACACACACACACACACACACACACACACACACACACACACACACACATATGACAATCCAGCCCTGAAACGAAAAACAGAGACCGGCCCGTTTGGGGGGGAATGTGTGCCCTTCACGCTCAACATCTCCCAATGCAGCGAGGGCAAAGACCCACAGGCTTTCCCACCTATTGTGTTCTTCATGCAGACCCACAACACGCAGGCCCTGCAAAAAAAAAAAAAAAAAGCTTCAACCTTTGGATGCCTTTTTATACATTTACCGAGCATCTTAATGCATCAGTCGACTACTGTATAAATAAACAGGCAGCTTCATTGTAAAGCTGCACAAGTAAGAAAGACGCGGGCAAAGTGAGGTTTGGGAGGCATTTAAAGATCGCATTAACGATGAAAACAATTCGTCTTTGCATCTGTGTTGAATTCCACACTCCATCTCAATGTATTTGGTCGGGTCAATACAGCCCTGATCGATAAGGATAGCCAGTGCATCTATCAATTATCCCGCCTCAGCACTCTCTCCCATTGGTCTCTCCCCTGGAGCAGAGGAGGGGGGAGGCGGGAGCCGGAAAAGGGGGAAATAGGACAGCTGTTATTTAAAAAAGCGCCACTGCACACCTTTTTCTCTGCTGTAATCATGTTCCATTTGTTGTGTGTAATGCGCTCTCACATCCGTCCTACTGTATTTGGGGCTCGGCTTTACAGTCGTTCGGGTTATGTCTTCACACAGATGCTGGACACACACACACACACACACACACACACACACACACACACACACACACACACACACACACACACACACACACACACACTCATATCAGCAAACGGCCGGTTTATCCCCACAAAGGGCGAGCAACATGAAGCACACATTGCTATTCCTCACTGTGGTTGCAGATATTTTCTCCCTTCATTCTTCCACGTGACAGTGATGAGGTGCCATGGCATTCCTAAAAAAAAAAAAAAAAAAGCGCAGTTGGTTTATTACCATTTGAATGGCCGCAGCACGTGCCAGGGTGCGCAGGTCAAGACCCACAGGACACGGAGTGTTCAGAATGAGGGTGAGAGGCCTCTATTCATGTTTCAATGGACTACACGCCGTTTACACAGGCCTAATCCTGGAGCAATACACCTCCCCATCCCCCATCCCCCGTCACACTGCGCCCTTTACACTCCGCGCATGCATCACTGCAATGCATACGTTCATTTTCCTGGTGAATATATTTATATTGTGTTGAGGCTGTCCTCAGTTGTAGGCTGGAGGTAATACTTTTGAGGCTTTTATATTATTTGGTTGCATCAAACTGATAAAAGTAGAATATTTTACCATAAAGAAAGCATAAATTATAGTTTTTCTGCAAACTAAATACATTTATCTTAGCATGTATGTTACCTAAAGTAGGTTATAGCCTACTTTTTTTTTTTATTTCCCTCTACAAAGAATTTATTTTGAAGCCCACAGTTTCTTCCTGCAGGTCAGTTTGAATGGCGCTGTCCAGAGTGCTGAACTGCAGCATCTCCTCTGTTGAGGACAGTTCAAGGTGATGAACTGGAGTTTTACCAATACATAGTTAATAGCATTCTTGTAGCCCTAAACACCATTATTTCATCCAACAGCTTCCACCCATCGATCAATATTACAATCCACAATGGCGTCAATCACACGGTCGTGCACCCTACTTTCCAGTCCAGCACGAAGCCAACCGGGGTTTCCATTTAAATCACATCTCTAGCTCTTTTTTTTCTCTTTTCCTTTGGGGAAGCTGCAAAATACGAACTGGAGGTTTTTTTCGTTTTTAGGATGCTCACCAAAATATCTCAGAGCAACCAAAATAGTCAGGATTGGTGCTTATTTTTGCTCATTTAAACCAGGATAATGGTTTTAATTGGATAGGGCATTAAGATGTGATTGATGCGGGTTAATCTAAAACAGGATTCTTTTTTTCATGAAGAGATGGCTTGATGTTAGCCTGCGAAATGATCGATTGGTACGTTAATAATTGATGTTTGAGGGGAAGATAGGGGGGTAAACAGTGCAGCTGCGGTTTCAGAGCCTCGTTGTTCGTTAAGCACAGCAACGTGTGGTGTAAGTACTGAGACACGCATGTACAAGCATCGCCTTTGAAATCCTCTGGTGGGAGAGCAACAGTCATTTTCTTGAGGTTATACCTCGAGGCTATTTTGTTTAAATCCCGGGTTCAGTGTAGCTCATTGCAGATGAAATGACATCTCACGCCTTGCATCATTATCTGCAAGCCGGCAATAAAAAGAGGGTGTGCATGTGGAAGGTAAAGTCAATTAATTCAACTTTAAATTTGCATACATCTTAATGTTGTAGGCTGGTATGAATATTCATAAAGGGATGCATCATGGGAAGTTACACAAGGACTGGGGCTTTGAATAGAAACACCTCCACATGCTCCCTAAAATATGATTATTCTACATGAGGCTGCAGCTTCCTGCAAAAGGTTCTTATTCGCCCCTGCATAACGCAGGACAGCATCACAGCCCCCAGCTACAACCTGCATACGTGTCGCCTCCCCGTTTCTCCTCTCCTGTGCGTATGTGATCGGGATGTAGAGTGCGTCTGCGCCACATTGTTAAGGCCGATCTGGCGAGCCCTGAATCTGTATCGATTTCCATTCCCCGGCCTCTGCTTTCCATCTCTGGAGCCGCGCCATGCAGCCATGCAACCCCCTCCATCCTCCACCATGCAACACCATTTCTTCCATTAACAGCTCACCCTTAAAACACACACACACACACACACACACACACACACAGAGAGAGAGAGAGAGAGACACAACAGAATGACTAATAATCGCATGCTCCTTGCGCTGGCTTGTTGCACACCTCGCCGCGTGCTCTGGTCAAATGCTGACTTTAAAAAAAAT